TTAATCTGGCAAGGAAGAATGTTCTGAAACTCTGTCAAGACTGTGAAAGCTGGAAGAACAAGGTGGCTCTCGTGGGCTCAATGCTGTCATATTATGAAAATTTAGAAGCAGCAGTGCCTTAGATACAGTCTAACAATGGTGGTCTCTGCAGACTACCCACCTCAAATGTTACTGCTTTTAATTTAGTAACACAATATATTTATATAGTTAAATTTTTTACCTTTTTAGGTGGTAAATATAAATTTATTTAATTAATGAGGAATGCAGGGATATTCTTGTAACATCTCATATTCCATACTTTAAAATCAACACTTTCCATTGACAATGTAAGAACCTGAGTAAGGAATGAGAGACAAAGACATGAACATTGAAAATTTTCAAAATTTAGTAAAATTCTTCTATGTATAGAAAATAAAACAATTTCCCATTGGGCTACCAGTTCTTTTAAATACTATTTTTACCATTTAAAAGAACTGGTTGCTTCACACTTTTTTAAAATTTATTTTGCTTTCTTGGTTGCTTTTTAAAACATATCAAACCTTTCTGGATAATCTAGCACATAATTTTGTATCAGACACCAAAAGGATCAAATTAACTACTCAATAGTAATAGTCAACTTGACTAGTCTTACTAACCACTACCCTTTGTTTGATTGGATGATTTTATGACAAATCAAAAATTTGGATTACCAAACAGCATAAACCATATCAGTTGACTTTCAAACAGCAACAACTAAAATAGATTGCACTTGAAGAGAAAATAATGATATAATCAAGATTATGATTGTTGTAGCATACCTAGGGATGATAATGGGTATGCCCCCATTCCCATAAATACAGTAGTGAATACTGTATTTATGGGTCTGCAGGCTGCAGTTGGAGATTCATTGTGGAATTCACTTGACTCACTTCTAGCAGTTGACTACTTCTTCTATGTGCTGCTGGCGAATCTTATATGTGTTGTTCATGTTAAGTATTATCGCTAATTACCAACCTTTGCATGATTATTCTATTCAGTAACCTTTCCTAAATTACAACAATGATGTTCCCCACTATTTCAAAGAAAAGTTTAAGAAGAAACTATTAATTAATTTTGTGACACCTTTCTCTCTTTATCTACATTTCCAACTCAATAACATATAATCGCATTTATAGCATAACATGGGGAGTAACTCCATTCACTCTTATAGGAAGCCCCCCCAATACTTGAAAGAGCAATAACAGTTACTTGAGAAAACTATTTCTCTGAAAAACTGTTTCAATAGAAAGATTTTATAAATTCCAACTGACAATAGTACTGGCTGCTTGGTCAATTAATGCAGATGTTTCTTTATAAGGAAATGGCTAATATTACCATTAACATTCTTCTTTTTCTTTTATGTGCTTGCCATGTCTTCCTGTCCCTTGTAGCTGTCAATAAATTTTGTCTTTTTGTTATTTCTCTCAGACCCTGTTCTGCCATCCACTTGTTAAGTAAGTCATGCATTGCTTTTCCTTGTCCTGCTTTCCCTCTGTCCACCCTGTGAGTATCAGATTTTGCAAGCCCTTCTTTCTTATTACATGTCCCAGAAATTTCAGCTGCCTCTTCCTGATTTTAATTATAAGTTTCCTCTTTGTTTGCATCTCCTCCAAAACCTGATTGTTCTTCACATGTTCAGTCCATGGTATCCTTAGCATCTTTCTGTAGAACTACACCTCTGTTGTCTCAAATTCTCTTCTTCTTCTTTGAGGAGATTGTCAAACATTCACTACCATAAAGGAGGACTGATATCATGTAGCAGTTCAGTACTTTTTTTCTTTGCTACCAATGAAACTCTCCTGTCTCATAATACTCTGCTTAGCTTTTGGAATGTGTCTTTGGCCATCCTGATATGTCTTTGGATCTCAGCATTGCACTGTCCTTCCTCTGTTAGAATACTTTCCAGATATTTAAATTTCTACACCTGCTTGAATTTAGTGTCCACAACCTGTAAATTGCATTTTGGACTCATTATTTTGCTGATGAGCATTCATTCTTTCTTCTTGTAGTTTATGCTTAGTCCCTTCTTCTCACTCTCCTTTGCTACATTCTGTAGAAGGTTTTGTAGTTTCTTTTCTGTCTCTGCTATCAGCGCTTTGTTATCTGTGTATCTTATATTGTTAAGATTGTGGCTACCAATAATGGATCCTGGTAGGATTTCCAATTCTCTCAGAACTGCCTCACTGTATAGGTTGATTAAGTCCATTGAAAAACACAACCTTGCCTTACACCCCTTTAATTTTTGTATATCTGCTGAACTCTTTTTTTATATTTATGCAGGTGGTTTGCTGCCAGTAGAGGTTTCTGATTGTTCTAATGTCTTTCCTAAATATGTAAAGGTTGCTGAGCAGCTTTAACAGATCTTTGTGATGCACTTTGTTGAATACCTTTGCATAGTCTATAAAATATAGGTGCACACGCTCTTCTGTATTTGTATTGCTCTTTCTGATAACATTTTGAGCATGAATATCACGTTCCTTGTTCCGGTGTCTTTAATGAAACCATACTGTTTTTGCTCTTCTCTGGCCTGATTCTGCTGCACGTTCTACTCATCAGAATATATTTAAGTTTTATTATGTGGTTCATTAGGCTGTTTCTGTTGAATTTAGCCACTGCAGATTCTGCTTTGGTTTTTTGAATTTCAGGCCTGTCAGTAATTCTGTGTATTTCTGGTTCTCTTTAATTGTGGAAGAGTTCTCAAGATATTTGTTCCAGCACTGCAGAATTTTTTTCCTTTAGTAACCATTATCCCAAATGCACCACTTCTACACAAATTCAAGATGGAGTCAAAAAATTAAAATTTAATTATAAAATCAGTGTATATGACTTTTCACTAGCTTGGGATTGAACCATCCTTTGATTTTTTGCAGCCTGTTGACGAGCATGTCTTCTGTCCTGCTAGTTCCCTTATTTGTTTATACACATTTTTCATTTCATCATTTTTATTTAACCTGCCTGCATTTGGTCCTTATTTCATTGAGTAGTTTTCTGTATTCTGTTCTGTATCTTGTCAAAGTTTTCTGTCTCCTTTAAATCATGTCGTGAATCTCATCTGTGATCCATTCATTTTTTTTTCTTCATCCCTTCTCCTTTCACATGATATCATTTGCTGATGTCACTAAAGCTTCTCTTAGTTCATCCCATTTTGAGGTTGCATTTTAATTTTGTCTCTCGTGTCTTCTTTTCATGCTGCCCATATATTTTTCCTTCAGATACAGGTCACTCATGAGTTTGTTATATTGTAATTTGGGTACTGTGTTAGAATTCTTCAATTTCTGTAGTTTCACTCATAGTTTACTTATAACAGGGTGATGGTCACTTCCACAGTCAGCACTTGGGTAGGTTTTGCAGTGAAACATTACATTCCTGAATCTTATTTTGATAGTTATGTAGTTAAATTGGTTTTTAGTTTCTCCTCCTGGGCTTTTCCATGTCTATAATCATCTCGGATGTTCTTGAAACCATGTGTTGGCTATTACTTGGTCATTGGCCATACACCATCAGACCCATTTTTCTCTGCGTTTATTGTGATTTCCTAGTCCAAATTTGCCAGCAATATTGAATTTTAGATCAAACTCATTACAAAGTAGTGCTTCACTCATCATTATCCCATACTGAGACATATTTTCTTGTTTTGAGACTCCTACAAAAATACTTAATGAACAAACTGTAATAAATACTTTATAGCAGTTATTTTTACAAGTTCTTAGAAGATAGCATATTAGCATTTTTGGAAATATGATCTGGTGTTGATAAGCTATAAAATATAAAAATAAAAAAACCTTTTGATACCCTAAGCATAGAATTAGTTTATTTAATGGTTAATTAGGTTCTATCTATTATGATATAACCCATAAAATAATGGATATTGATTGTTTGATTCATTTTCTATGACTTATCAACCTATTTAAAGATAAAAAAATGTTTTTAGATTGTAAGAATTATTTGTAGGGGTGGAAGATAATAATGTTTTAGGGATACAAGTATTATTAATTAACCCATAATTAGGAAGAAGATGAAGATTCTTACCTTTCCAAGGGTATTTGTATTAAGTTAATATAACAAACCCAATTGGAATTGGAACTTGGCTCTCTGATGGACAATTCCAAGCCTTTATCAATTACACCACCCACACATCAAAGCTTACAACACTTAGTATTTCCAAGTGGTTACACATCTAGGTACTGACCAGGCTCGACATTGCTTAACTTGGATGATCATATGGCAACTGCTGTTTTAATATGATATTGCCATTAGGCTGAAATGGTCATAAAAAGTTTAAATATGCATGTATGTGTTGATGCAAAGATTTCTACAGAATCTTTGAGAACTTTTTTCAGGAATTATCTTGCTTACTTTTGTCTTATGACATTCTTAAGACAAGAAAAAATAATTAATAGCAAAGATATTTTTCACACTACCATTAAACTGGCTGTCTCCCATATTATTATATTTTCTAAGCCGATGTCACTTGAAAAACCTCTGGGGAATTTCTTCTGATTTCGAAATGATCAGAAAGTTTCTCTTCCGAAACAGGCTGGAGAGAACAAAAATTCTGTATAGAAGAACTCCTTGCAGGAAATTTCTTTTTCCAAGGTTCTCTTTAATATGAAAGAAAAAAGTTTCTTCCACATACATCTGAAATTTTTGATTTATCTACTTACTTTTTTTTTTAAGAAAATGCCTGAAGATGGTTCTGTGGCCATCTGCTTAAAAGAGGAACAAAGTTGAAATATTCCAATCTGACGAATATATCGGTACTGGCATTATCCTCCAAGGTTTCCTTTGATATAAAAGAAAAAATGTTTTGCCAGTCCAAATCTAAGATTCACGATTTTTTAGAGGAAAAATGCCTGAGGATGATTGCTCAGTCACCAGAGAAACATAAAACTCTTAGCTGAAGAAATCCTTGAAGCCAATGGTTTTCTCCAAGTCTCTCTTTGACAGCAAAAGATAAAAATCTTTTCTGTTAATTTCAAGATTCAGGTATAAAGATGGATAAGAAGAAGAAATAAAGATGGGGAAAAAAAATTAGAGATAAGTAAGAAGAGGTAAAGTGATAGAAGGGAAGAAACAAAGAAAGGAAAAATATGACAGAGAGGGTGAAGAACTTGGGAAAGAAACAAAAAGATGAAATAAAAAAAAGGTAAAGAATTACAGGGGGAGAGAGAGAGAAGATTTGCATGATGAAAGAGAATGATAAGTGAGAAAAAACATACATAAAGACAGGAAAAAGTATAACAAGTAGAAAATTGTAAGAGAAAGAGATGAAGGTGATAAAAAAAAGGTAGAAATAAAGACAGGTAAAAAGAATAATAAAGAGTGGGAAAAATTGAAAGGAAAAAAAAAGATGAAAGCGATAAAAAGAATGAAATAAAAACAGAGAGACTATGAAAGAGAAGGAAAAGAATTGGGTCAAAGAAAGAGACAAAGAGGAAGAAATAAATTAAAAACACAGGAGAGGTAATCATGTCCAAAAGAGGAAAGTAGGAAGAAAATAAAAGGAAGTCCATTTTTGACAGCACAAACTTCTTTTAAAAGCAGAAAGCACTTGGTCATTGTAAGTTATACTTTTAAAACTGGAATGATAGTTCTATTTCCCTGACCAAAAATAAGTGCCCAATACAGATTGGAAGATAAAAAATAATAAAAAAAGAAAAAGAGTCTTATTTCTTTGTCTGCTGTATCTTGGCTAAATTCCATTGCAGACCATGTGCTAAAACCTTCTGCCATTATTGCCATAGTAATGAGTTAGGAGCATTTTTATTGGCCAAGTGAGTATTCAAGAGAATATTCTTTGTGTGTGTCTGTGTCAGAGTTCTACTTTTTAATGGCAACCCATTCATTTTGGAAAAGGAATTGATTTGTATATTTTTATTTAGCTATTTATTTTCTTTCTTATCTTAGTTCCTTTGCTTGAATGTTATCATTCATCTGCTTCAGACTTTGAATCCTTAACTTATTAGTTTGGTTTTTAAAATTGTTTGATGCATGTTTGAGTCAACTTGAAGATATCAATTTCTTTATTTCTTATCACTTATATTGCTATTCCACAAACATTCAACTGAAATCATTTTTAGATTTTTTTATCACTGACATTACCAGTACTCCACAAGTCCCTCTTAGCTTCAGACACATTTCTGGCATGAATGTAATACATATTTGTGGAGGTAGGACAAATTTGGTAATAAAATTTGGTAATAAAATTTGGTAATAAAATTTGGTAATAAAATTTGGTAATAAAATTTGTTTGAGCAGGTTTTTACATTCATTCATGTATGCTGTACACTGAAAATCAGAAAAACAAGAAGTCTTCACTGGTCTGGAATTAATCTAGACATTCTAATATATCTATCTATCTATATAAAAGCTTAGATCAAGGAACAGCATAATGAAAAATATCCAAATGTTGGACAATTTTTGTCTTTATTTTCACCTGAAATTAAAGCAGCCATACAAAGTTTAGAATGACTCATGATCTAAATATAATAGACATTTATTGTCTGTTATATTTAACAATATATGTTTGAATATATATATATATATATATATATATATGTGTGTGTGTGTGTGTGTGTATGTAGACAGCAATGTTCTTTTAAATGTTGTGCAATAGAACTTGAATCTGACATGTGTAAAGTAAGCCTTCTTGATAGTGTTGTCATTGTGAAATCAACACATATTTATGGTTTTTAAGAGATACAATCTTCCTAAGGACATTTAAATTGATATACAATGCTAGTCTTTTGCAAAACATTAGTTGATGAAGAAGTGTTACTGCACATGGTTAATTTGGTTGTATTAAATTTAGTATAGTATATAATTTGTTTTATTTTTTTACTGGTATCAGTGAGGTATAGATTAGTACTTATGAGTTTTTAGGATTTTAGTTTATTTGATTGTAGTATAGTTGTCTGATATGTTTAGGGTTATTTGAAGAAATATTATGTTCTTTTTGGTTGTTTGTAATAGCTCGTTTAATTTGTTCATCAACAATGTAATTAGGAAAGTCATTATTAATGAGAGTTTGTTTAATGTTTTGTAATTCCATGTAGAAAATTTTTTTCGGGGAAGAGTTAACTTTTTCACAGTTTATTAAATTTTGTATAATCTCTGTAATAATCAAGACAATCACTTTTATAGTTGAGAGTGCATGTGTTTATGCTAGTTAGTTTCTTATATGGGGAGGTAGAAAATGTATTATTATTACAGGATTAAAATAAAAACGAATAAACATAATATATATATAAATAAGGTATATTTTGACAGCAAGTATTGATCCAAACAAGTCTGATTAAAAAGAACTGACAATATCTGTTTTTATTTTTTATTATATTATTCCAATTTTTGACTAAGGTGTTGAGTACTGTGTTTGTGGATAAAGTGACCAAAGTTCATATTTTGATATTTTTGTTCAAGTAATTTCGGCTATCATTATTATCAAGGACCAATATGGTGCCTCTAGGGAAGTCAGAATCCCTTTGTCCTGGTATTCTTTGGAAAGCTGCAACTTTGAAGTGGTCTAACTTGATGACAACACTGGGCCCCAAAAATTCCCTGTATGTCAAAATTATATTGTCTATGAATTCTCATGACCCCTTGAAGATTACATCTCCAACAGTAATAATCAAAAAACAGCATGAAATACTTACCGTATTTGACGGCATGTAAGACACATTTTTTTTTTACTAAAAATATCTTTTAAAATTCCCCTGCATCTTATATTCCATATGTAGGTTTAAAATTTGCAATAGTTGGTTGAAATTAGGTACCTGGCAACTCCTATTAGCTTAGACTTTTGACTAACTTTCATACACCTATTGTCATTATTTAAGAAGCTATTATGCAGATTAAAAGTGTTATCATTGATAATATTAATTATATTAATTTTATCACATTTCATATTAATACTTTGTTTCACTAAAATTATATGCAATAAATTCAATTTATATATTTGTAAAATATATTTGTTTCATTAATATTTTTCTTGTGATAACTTTTTTGCACTGGTATAGATACAATCAGAATTTTTATATCCTAATTATTCAACTAAGACATTTACAAGACACAGGTTGTACAGATTATATGAAGAAAAATTTTTGATTGAATTTTAATGGTAACTGTACTGTTTTGCTCAGTTGTAATAATTACTTGATTTTTATTTTGTTTTCTTACCTTTGGATACAATAAAGTTGTTATGGGCTTGTGTTCTTTTTTTCTATTATTTTTCTACCTAGTTTTTTTCTATTAATTGTAATCATGGCTTGCTTAACTAAAATAATAGCTCATAAATATAGCCTAGGCTCTACCATTTATCAATAATTTTACTAATTACTAAATTTTTCTTGATTTGCCCTGCTGAAATTGGAGTGTGTCTTATATGCCATCAAATATGGTACATTGTGCATCCATACACCACACTTTTTTGTAGACTGAACTGTCACCTGTTGAAACTCAGTGCAATTCATGCACATATCGACCAACACATCATGAACAAGCAAATTATAATGATATTTGCTTCATATAGGTAACACCAAAATAATCCACAGTTCGAAAATGCAAGGAAATACTCAAAATCCTAGAAGCCATTATTATACAAAATAGACTGCCCACATTAAATATCATTCATCACAGGAGATGGTATCTTGAAGTGCATATGATATTTTTCTTTTACAGTAAGCTTCACCATGGTTTATACGGATAGGACAGGGAGATAACTCTACACTTGAACAGGTTAAGATTGTAGTGATTGGGGAAAACATCCAGTTGGGAGTTGGTCCCACAGAACAGTGATTTGCAGGACATTAATTAATGTATGCATATATTATATTAGTATTAAAAAATAATTGACTCGATGGAACAAATACATTGAGTCAATTGCTTCGTCCACCGCAAGGAAAGTTGGCTCCCTGTGCTGCGCCAGGAAATTTTTATCCCCAGAATCGATCCTCCAGATCTACAAATCAACCATTCACCCTTGCATGGAGTATTGCTGCCATATATGGTCTGGAGCCCCTTCTGTTTGCCTCGGTTAGGCTCCAGAGGCAGATATGCAACATAATTGGCCCTGATCTGGCATCTCGTCTACAGTCACTTTCTCACAGACACGCCGTCGCCTCTCTCTGTCTGTTTTACAAATACTTTCATGGCAATTGCTCCGAGGAGCTGCATTCACTGGTTCCCGGACTTCATGAGTTCAAGTGCCCGACGAGGCTGGCATCCCGCTCTCACTCCTTCACTGTCGAAACTCCTAAATGTAGCCGTCTCTTCTACTCCAATTGCTTCATGTCTCGCACCTCTCACCTGTGGAACTCCCTTCCCTATTAAAGTTTCCCTGAGAGCTATAATCTCCAGCTATTCAAATGTAATGTCAATTGACATCTCCAGTTGCCTTGATCTATCCACTACCCTTCTGCTCATCCTTTCTTCTATCACTCCTATCTGATCTAGCTCCAAATTTTCTGTAACCCCTTGTGTCCTAGTGGCTTCTCGCCTTGGTTGGGGTGAAACACTTAAAAAATAAAAAAAATAAAAAAATAACTAAAATAAGATAAATTAATAAATGGCATTCTTTTTGCGTCACCTTGTTACCAATAACCGTTACACATATTATCACACTAAACCATTTCAAACTTCCAGGTGTCAAAGGATACCTGGATGTAGACAAAAGAATTCTAACTTACTTTCTTTCTTTTTTTCTATGTGCCATGTTCTTTCAGGATGTAGGCGATCATGGCTCTTCACCTCCCTCTATCTCTTGCAGCTCTCAACAAGTTCCTTCCCTCTGCCACCTCCCCTTGACCACGTTCTGTCATCCATTTGCCTAAGGCCGCTAGGTATGGTATGCATTGTTTTCCCTTGTCTCTCTTTCCCTCGATTCAACTCGTGAGTATCAGATTCTCCAGGCCTTCCTTCCTCATTATGTGTCCCAGAAACTTCAGCAGTCTTTTCCTGATATTAGATATAATACTCCTCCTCGTTTGTAACCTTTTTAAGACCACATTGGTGCTCACATGCTCGGTAACTACAACACAGAAACCACACTGGTTCTTGATAATGACTGCAACAGTTGAAAGTATTTGAGCAAAAATAACAAAATATGAACTTTAGACAGTTTATCCACAACTTCAAGTATTATACTCATTACCTTATCTGAACATTTTAAAAATATAATAAAATTAAGCAAAAGATGTCTGTTCCTTTTAATCAAACATATATATATATATATATATATATATATATATATATATATATATATATATATACATATAAATTCTTTTAATAAGCTTTGCAAATTATTTTATGATTGTAATGCTTCGATAATCAAAAGAAAAAGGACTGTCAGTAGTCAGAAATTAAGAAATTATTAAAGTCGAAAAAGAAGTATTATGTGTATGCGTACTACACAAATATTGGTTAATATTACATTAATTTTTACAATATTTTATAGTATAAACTAAATTACTGGTGTTTTTAAATTGCACAACAATCAGAACCTACAATTTTTTAATCA